CCCCAAAACCCCAAAACCCCAAAACCCCAAAACCCCAAAGCATGATTTAGATATTGAAGAGGGATAAATCTTAGCATCAAAATTGTAAACTATTCGTTCTTTTCCTCTCCTTCAGCTTCAGCTTGTCTTCTCTTTTCTTCTTCCTCAGCCTTTCTTTCTGCTTTAAGTTCTTCGGCCTCTTTGTGATCTTCATCAGTGATCACTTCTTTATTGACCTTTTCTAGGTAAAGGTCAGGGAACACTAGGATGAACTCTTTCTTGATTCCATCAGCAAGTTCATCTCCAAGTGGAGTTCCTAAGAAGTTGACTGTAGACAGGTTCTCTAGGATTTCTAGTTGTTTAGCATCCTCTAACTTCTCAATCTTGGTCTCTCTGAGATTTAGGTATTCTAGTTCTGGAAGATTTGGAAATGATTCAAATTTCTCAATCTCTGTAGCTCTGAGGTGAAGTTTGGTCAAGTTTGGAAGGGTATGGAGCTGCCCTACACTGACAAGAGGGTTCTCTGCTAGGTACAGTTCCTTGAGCTTTGGCATATTTCCGAGTCCATCACAATTTCCTAGCTTGTTCTTCCTTAATTCAAGAATTTCAAGGTTTGGATGTCCTGTGAACTCGGCTCAAGACTCTATCTCATTTTCATTGAGAATGATATGTCTTATCATTGGACAAGGAATTGGAGGAAGACTTTTAATTTTATTCTGAGACAGATTTAAAACTTGCAAAAAGTTGTGCTGGTCCTGACTCAGGAAAGAAATATCCTCAATCTGGTTCTCAATAGCAGTAAGAGTCAGGATATTTGGCAAAGATAGAAGCTCATTAACTCCTGTAAGTTGATTTTTGCTAATATTGATATTTCTCAAATGAATATAATTTTTAATTGCATCTCCTAGAACTTCAATTTCTTTTTCTTCAACAACAAGAGTTGTGAATGCGCAAGTAGAACCATCAGATATGACATCGACTTGTGATAGATTTTCATTTATCATCTCCTGAGTCAAGAGATTCTTTGGCTCTTCAACATCTCCTTCAGCTTCAGACATTTAAATTATTTATTTCAATATTTTATTTAAATTATGGGGTTTTGGGGTTTTGGGGTTTTGGGGTTTTGGGG